CCAGCCCCACTCACCATCCTGGCAGCGCTGCCCGGTGTACCCAGGCGGGCACACACAGGCTCCAGTGGCGTGGTCACAGCTGGCATTGTTGGCACAGTCAGGGCAGATCTCCTGGCAGCCCGGCCCCCAGAGACCCTCAGGGCAGGCTGGAGCGTGAGCAGACAGAGAACACAGAGCACAGGGATCAGAGCTGAGGTGGCAAAGGGAAATGTGAGACCTTTTGGGCTCCCTCTGGGCTCATGCGAGACGTGGATTTTGTTCGCAGCACAGCCTGGCCCTGCCTGCTCCACAGCACTCTCTAAGTGCTATTCTGAGCTCACTCCAGCATTTTCACGCCAATTTTGGATTTTCAGCCACTTGCAGGGAGCTCCAAGGGCTCCTCAGTGGGAAATGGTGCTGCTGGCACAGGGGCTGCACAGCTGCTGTCACACCATGGACAGCACATCAGTCACTGCTCTGGAACCCACTGGGAGCTGCAAAGAAGGAGCAAAAGGCTAAACTGCTAAAACCAGGGCAAGAATCCTTCTCCAACTGGTCCTAAGCTGCTCCAGGGCCTGGAAAAAAGGCAGCTTGAAATGTATGGTAATGGTAAGCACTGTACACACGTAGTTTCATTGCTCAGCCAAACTCTAGGAGCAGGACATCTCAATGTGACTAATACCTTCCAGCTGCTGCAATACTGCACAATCATGCAAAAGCTTTCCATTTCAGACTCTCTAGTATTCCAGCAGTTAAAGAGTAATCTGGTGAAGGCAATTAAAAGCATGCATCAATAAAGAAAGGTTCCTCTCCTACATTGAGGACTGCAACAACAAAAAACATCATCTTTTTTATCATGTTGTTTAAGACTCACCATCAAAAGCTGCAATTTTCTCTAATTTTCCACAAAGATGGTTCTAGCTGCAGTGGGTGTTTTCAAAATGCGTTTTGAAAACACCCACTGAGCAGTAAAAGCAAAGCAGCAGGTCTACACCTAAATCCTTCCCTCCACATTGAAATCCCTGAGTGTTTGCTCTGCTGCCCATGCTCACCTTGGGCACAGTCGTGTCCTGTCCAGCCAGGTGGGCAGTGGCACTGCCCCGTGCTCCTGTCACAGGACGCCTCTCCACAGGCACAGGAATGCTGACAGCCTGGCCCAAATGTCCCCTCAGGGCACTCTGTGGGAGAACAGCAGGGTCAGAACATCCCCTCAAGATACCCAAGAGCATTTTACCAACCTGGCCCTGCAGGCTGAAGGAGCCTCTGGGCCTGTTTGGGGTTCCCAGAGCTGTGAGAGGTTCCCACCTGTGTTCATGGGTTAGTGAGCATGGTGGTGTTTGCTCAGAAGTTGGATTTGGTGACCTTGGAGGTCTTTTCCAACATTAGTGATTCTGTGAGCCTGCGTGTGACCTCTCTGTGAGCAACCTGGTCACCTCCAGCATTGCCACCACCACCTGACCTGTCTGCCTGTCACTTCTGTCTTTTGTGTGTCCTTTCAACAAGCATTTCTTCAGGCAAGAGTGATCATACATCCCCAAAAAACTGAGGCCAAACTGATCTCCAGTCTTTGGACAAGGACTCTGCCCAAGCCACCCTGCTGTCTCTGGGTTGGGGTGCAGAACACCAGGGTCACATTCCCACACCAAACCACCCCTTGGCTTTTCCAAGGTGCTCTGAGGGTTTTCACCTCCCTGGCTGAACGCCTCCAGGATCTGAGCACCAGCATTTTAAGAAGCAGCCAGGTTTGCAGCAGGACACAGATGGAAAGAAGGAACATCCTCATGCACAGGAGGAATAATCCACTTTTCCTTCCCTCTGCTCTGGATGCCAGTGTGGTTCTGCCGATCCCAGCTCGCTCTGATCTTTGCACCCCATTCCACAATTTAACAACGAGCTGGTGACATGAAAACTGAGGGCCCCAGAGCCAAGATCCCTAAATCCTCCCTGAGCCCCCCATGAGAGCTCCAGGCTCAGCAAAGCCAATGTTCTGAGCAGCCCCAGCAGAGGGGAACACACGGGCACCGACAAACCGCGGAGGAAGCGCAGCGCCTCCGTTTCCAGCGGCACAGTGGAGTTTTTGTTATTCCTCCCCTTTGCTAATTGATGGCAGATGTTTGTCTTCACCCTTTAATAATTTCCAGATCCGAACAACAGCCAAGAGCCTACTATTTCTACACAAATATTTGTGTTATTTCCTGTGACTCCCCCCTACAGCCTTCAGCTCCTTTCTTACCCTTTTTAAAAATATCCTGAGCGGGAGCACCCAGCCTGAAAAGGCTCCAGGGGCCACAGCATCCCCCCAAAGGGGGCTCAGGGCTCTCAGACCCTGCCAGGGAGCACAGCCCTGCAGGAGCTGCTCCCATCTCTCCTTCCAGCACTGTGGTTAAAATTGCATTGGGGTTTTTGCTGCTTTCTGCAGCTCTTGCTGCTTTCTGCAGTTCTTGTCCCATCAGAGAGATAGGGCTCTGCACCACGACCCTTTGCTGGCAGATAAAGAGGCTGATGGTTGCAGCTTCTGGGCTGGGGTGAAGCAGGGCTTGGCTAAACATCAGAAACTCCTGGGATGCTCCAATCCAAATCCAGATGCTGGCCACTTCCAGCCTCTCTGCTGCACTCTGTCTCCAAGTGCCCAACTTTTTGGCATTTTCTGCAGGTCCTAACCAGCTCAAGTGGGTTCAGGAGGCCCCAGCCCCACAAGAGCAGGAGTGGGTTGACTTTTCAGTCGCCACTCAGCTCTGTGGTTGGCAGAACTTATTCTTTTCCAAACACTGTGTTCATATTTTGTAATCATCACCTCGGGCCAATGACTCACTGCCTTTAGGTTCTCTCAAAGCACCTTTGTCTGCCCAAAGTGAAGCTCTCTGGCACAAAAACCACCCCCAGGATCTTGAAATCTGCACCCTCAGAGCCTGAGTGTTGGACACAGTTAAATACACACAGAGCTGGGCAGCTCAGTCACCATCCCATCAAACTGGCCCTGCATGGGAAGAGCATGAAACTGCTCTAGGAGGTTCATACAGAAGCAGAAGTTTGAATTCTAATGAAAATTAAAAGTAAAATACTCCTTTACACTTGCAGATTAAACAGAGCTTCAATATAAAATAGAGAACAGAGCAGAAAATGGGATAATGTGTTGGGCAGGGATTGCCTCGAAGGGAAAAGACATCAAGGCCAGGAAAATCATCTCCATCTACCCACAAAGAGATGTCCACTGGCAGGGTGAAGAAACACCTTGTTCTCCTTTTCTGAATCTTATACCAGGAATTCTCTCCCATTTTAAAGAGGCAGCAGCATTTCACAGAGACCCGTGGATGGCAGCTCCTGTGTCCCCTGAAGTCTCTGCTGGCCACCCATCAGATCATTTGCAGTGTGCTGGGCCTCTCAGGGCATTCTGGAAGTGCTTTTGTGTCGTTTTGTGAAGTAAAATGCTGAGGACAGGTGAGTTTCCAGCCCACATAGAGATGCCCTGCCTTACCTTGGTCACAGTGCTCACCATGGTAGCCTGGGGGACACTCCTTGTGACACTCGCCAGTGACAGGGTCACAGGGAACTCCTGGAGAGCAGCTGCACTTCTTCTTGCAGCCATCTCCATAATAGCCAGGGTCACAGCCTGTGAACAGCCAGGATTAGAGGGAAAGAAGCTCTGAAAGCTTGGAAGGTGCTGAGCATCCTTCAAAGCTCCACCACCACTGTCACAGCTGTCCCACCA